GGGGTGTTCAGGAGCTGACGGTGTCTAGTGATCCCTGCAGCCGGACCGCACCTATGACCTGATCATCCACCCCCCCACGACCTCCTACTTCCTGCTTGCGGCCGCTGGCATCGAGAAGGGCGCGTCACAGCCCGGTGAGGGGGGTGTATAATGGGGGTGGGGGGAGGCTGGCCATTCCCCATCCCGCCCCCCAAGGGCATGCAGAGGTGGAGGCTGCTCCCCACCCATGGATGTGAGGGGGTCTCAGGCTGACACCCCCTCCATGAGGGGGAGGGGGAGGGGAGGTCCCAAGATGATGTCCCCTCACCTCCCCAGGGCACGAGGAAGCGGGGCTGGTGTCGTTGGCGCAGCTCTATGAGATCGCGCAGGTGAAGATTGAGGACCCCGGGTTCAAGCTGCGTGGGAAGGGCCTGGAGGATGTAGTGCGCTCGCTGATGGGCTCAGCCCGCTCCCTCGGCCTGCGCGTCGTGCCCCAGTGAGCCCCTGGACACCTGGGTTCTGGGGGACCAGAGGGGTGGTGCTGGGAGCCCAGTTGCATGGGTACTTTGGGGTGGGGGTGGGCCAGCAGCCTCGGTACCTTGTTTCTGGGTGGGGCGGGGGGGGGCAACTGCTGGACACTTCGGTCCCTGACACGCTGCCCCCCCGCCAGGCTCACCGTGGAGGAGTGCACCACCTTCCGCCAGCGCCGGGCAGACGAGCTGGCAGCCCAGGCCGCGGCCCTGAAGGAGGCTGAGGCTGCGGCTGCGGCTGCCAAGTGACTGCTCGGACCCCTGGGTTCTCCGCCAGGTTGCAGGGCCTGGGAACTGGGGGACCTGGAGTCTCCCCTGGCTCTGGGAGTGCCAGTGCAAGCCCTGTCCCCCTTGGCCTGGCTGGTCAGTGGTGAAGCTGATAAAATAAACGCTTGAGACCTTCCCCGGCTCCTGTGAGTGAATCTGTCGGAGAAGCCAGAGGTGGAGGGGGCGGGGCTGGTGAGCTAGGGGGCGGGGCAAGTAGCTGCTGTGGAGGAAGTGGCTTGGGGAGAGGGGGCATGGAGGGGTTGGAGAAAATGCGGGGGACAAATGTTTGGGGGGCAGAGGGCTGAGCAATGGGCTGGCATGGAGGGAGTGGCCAAGAGGAGAGGCGGGGCCAAGGGTCATGGGGACCAGGGCTGGTGCCTGCTCCTAGGGCTGGGCAGGCGATTGGGGCTGTCCCGGAGTGGGGCCCGGTGCCTGGGTGATTCAGAGCTGCGAGGGGGAGAGGAGGGAGCTGTGCTGGCCACCCGTAGTGGTGGGACAGGCCCTCTTGGGTGCGTTCACCCACGTGTGTCCGTGTGGAGTTGGGTGTGAACATGTGAGGAGGCGCATGCAGGCATAGTGGGTGGCGTGAGCATGTGTGTGCAAGTTGGCAGGGTGGTGTGTGCACGCGTGCAAGTGTATGTCAGGTGTGCAGGCAGGCACTGTCTGTGCAAGTATGAGGGTATCATACAGGCAGGAGGAGTGCAAGCCTTTGGCGGTTGTGCTCGCATTCATGTGCCATGGAAGTGTGTCCATGGGGCAGGGGGCACGTGTGTGTGGCAGGGGAGAGGGGTGAGCCCCCATCGGTGCCCCCCAGGGCTGGGTTGCCGAGTTCAGGGGTCCCTGCTTACTGCAGCTGCTGCCGTGGCAACACCTGGGATGCAATTGCCACGGCAGCATCATTGGGAAGGCGGCAGGGTGTTGCTATGGAGACAAGTGGCTGGGCTGGGATGGAGCCTGGGGACCCCCTCCCCTGCCCCCCAGACTGGAGGGTGGGTCTAAGGGGTGGGCGGGGCCTGTGTGCAAAGGATTGGTGTGGGGGTGTGGCTTGCCTGTTGTTGCTATGGTGCTCCCCCCCTTTGTTGCTGCTGTGGGGTAGCCATGGCAACATGATGCAGGGGGTGTTGACGTCACAGCCCAGCTCCATCTATTACCTATTATGGAGAGAGAGAGGAGAATCCCCCTCCCCCCAGCTCAGAGCCTGGTGGGGGGGACCCCTGCCCTGTCCATTCGACCCACGGGTGTGTCTGTCTATCCATTCATCCCCTGCACTGGGTTGCCCACCTGGGCTGCAGAATGCAGCTGGCTCCGGGGGGCAGCTGGCCAAGGGGAACAGTCTGGGCCGGCTGTGGTGGGGGGCCCGGCCTGGGCTTCCTCCCTGGTGGGGCCTGGATGCCTGGGTTTTAGCCAGTGCTGTGGGGACTGGTGGCTGAGAGCAGGGGGGCTGTGGGAGCCTGGGCACATGTCAGCCTCTTGCCAAGTGCCAGTACTATCAAGCTGGGCGCAGAGGCCTCTGGGTCCCAGCAGTTCTCTCCTCCTCGGGGTCTGGTGCGCTAGAGGATGGGGTATGGGGACCCTGGATGCCTAATTCTGTCTTCACTCGGGACCGGTCTCGTAGCAGCATGGCCTGGGGGGGCCGGACACCTGGGTTCCCTCTAGCTCTGGCAGGGCAGAGGGGGCTGGGGGCTGAGAGCAGGCTGGCGTGGGGGGGTCTCACGGATGCTTGGGTTTTCTCTGGGCATTATGGGGTTGTTATTAGGGGGCCCCCTTCCTCACCCCAGTGCATTGTGGGGTGAAGGGGTCTCCCCTCCCCCAGCAGCGGGGGCGGGTCCTGGTCTATATTAAGCGTAGCCCCTGGCGCTAGCGGGATGTGAGGCTGTGGGCGAGTTTCCATGGCAACAGGATATTTTTGATGGAGATGGACCTTGAGGGAGATTGTGGGGGGGGGGGGAAGCAAGGTCCTGTGTACAAAGCAGAACCTCCCCCCCTCCCCAGAGCTGCAGAGAACCCAGGTGTCTCAGCTCCTGCCCCCTCCTCTTTGAGGTCTGTGCCCTGCAGAGGGATGAGGGGGGCACAGCCCTCCCTGCTCTGCACCCCACCCCTCCCCTCCCTGGCAACACTGGGGTTGCCCTTAGCAATGGTTGCCACGGAGATCTCTGCTGCGGTGTCGGAGGCTATGGCAACAGGGTGATGTAACGCAACACGTGGACATGCACCGCAATGCAACACAACACGACACAACCCACCCCGCAATGGCCTGAGGTGCTAACAACAGGTGGCCATGCACCCCACTGCCACATGGCACAACACTGCATGGGGTATCTCCTACCAGGCAACACGGCACAGGGCAGCTTGTTGCTACACAGCCACCACACAATGCAATGCACCAGGCTGCAACACACCAGGCAGCTAGGTACCACAACACAAGGCAGGTTGATGGCCCATAGTGCGTCACTGCATCAGGCAGCCACACAACCCAAGTCAGAGCAGGGCCTCTTGCTGCAACACCACACACAATGCAGTGCCCCGGGGTGGAACACAACAGGGGCTGTTCAACACCACATGAAAGGATGTTCCACGAGGCAACACAACCCCACACAATGCACCAGGCTGCTACACAACACACAACCCCAGTCAGCACAGGGCCTCTATCTGCAACACAGCACAGCAGTGCAGTGCAACGCAATGCTTTGCAACACAACAGGCAGCCAAGACACAACCCAGGACTGGTTCTTGCAACAATGCATAGCACATAACTCTATGCAACACACTGAGCAGTAACACAACACTCAACCCAACATGGCACAGGGCTTCTCACTCCAAAACTGCACAACATGGCTTGGCTTGGCTGCAACACAACAAGAGGACATGCACCACAATAGAACATGGAGTGTACGGGGATGTCCCACAATGTACCATGCAACACAGCATGGGTCAAGTCACCGCAACACAAAACACATCACAACATGCAACCCCCACCCAAAGCACTGGGCTGTGACACAACACCCAACCCAGCACAGCACAGGACCCTCACTGTAACACAATTCAACACCATACAACACAGCCCTGCATTGCAGCACAACAGGCTACTGTGCCCCACAACATTGGGGGATGTTGGACAATGCACAGCTCCACACAGCCTGGGGCAGGTTCTTTTACCAACACAACATCACGCAGCGAAGGGCAAAGTAACCCCATGCAATACACAGCTCAGCATAATACAGGACAGCTCCTTGCAACATAACACACAGCACAAAGCACTGGGTGGCCAGGCAACATGCTGCTGTGCACCACAACACAACACAGTACCACATAATAGCGCAAGGTAAGTCTATGCTAGCCAATACACAACACAAGACAGCACACCATCACACACAGAAACACAACACAAGTTCAATTCAACTAATACACAACAAAGGGCAAGGCAACATACCATCACGTGTGACTTCACAACACAATGCAAGTAAGTCAATGCAAAGTGACACACAACACAGCTCAACGCAACATGCTGCCATCCCTGACAGTGGCATGGGTGGTTGCATCCTTGGGGAATTGTGTTGCCCTAAGCCATTCACCCTGTGGTGGCAGGGGGAGGGGGAAGCTGTGTGTGTGTAGTGTGTGTTGCATTGGGCTGCATTGTGTTATATTGTGTGCCACTGTGGCCCTGCAGTATGTGGTTCCAGGTTGTGTGTTGTGTTGCACTGCAGCCTCTTACACTGGGTTGTGCGGTTGCTTGGAGCTGCCCTTAAGCTGTGCACAGGGTGTGCGGAGCCCTGTTGTGTTGCATTACATGAGGTTGTGTTGTGTGTCTTGGTGGCCAAGTTGCATGTGGCTTGCTGTCTCGTGGTGCTGCCAGGTGCATCATCTTGCATTGAAGCACTCAGGTTGTGTGTTGTGGTGTGGCATTGTGGTATGGGACAGCCTGCTGTCTGTGTTGACTTGTGTGCTGTGTTGCGTGGTTGTAGAGGGTGGGTGGCAGTGTTGTGTTGTCTCATGGTATATTGTGTATCATGTTGGCATGCTTGCTTGTTTGTCTGTGTGTGTGCATCCCAGCTGACTGCAACACACCTGGGCAGCATATCATGCACCAGAACAAAACACAGGGCAATGTGCCACAATTCAACACAGGGTAAGTCCTTGCAACGCAACGCAACACACTGGGCTGCAACACAACACAGGGCAACACAACACAGAACCCAACACAACCCAGGACCAGTTGTTATCTCATGGTGCATTGTGTATCATGTTGGTGCATTTGCTTTTGTGTGTGTGCATGTGCGCGCGCATCCCAGATGCCTGGATTCTGCATTTGTGTTCGTTGCTGTGCATCACAGTGTGTTGCCCGTCACACTGAGTCCGTGTTCTCACATGGCAGTGCATGCTGATGAGACTCAGGTCATGTCACTCCCCACAGGCCCATGCCACCTCCTATGGCATGTGGGTCCACCTGGGGGCACACACTGCTCCATTGGTGAGTCCACTTGGCTGTGTGGCCATGTGTGTCAGGGTGTGCTGGGGGGCAGAGTGGGCACCCCCGTGCCCATGTGCATGCAGGTGTGGCAGTACCTGGGGCAGTCTGTGTTGATCTGCACTGTTGTGCTCCATGCATGTCAACATGTGCCCCTCTGTCAGTGCCTGTGTCTAACCTGCTTTGGGTGCACATTTGTCAGGGCATGTGCACCCGTGCCACTCCGTGGGCATGTCAGGGTGTGCTCAATGCCTGGCTGTGCTTGTGTCACTCCGTGTCAAGCCATGTTGCTCTATGTCCCTGCCTGTCAGGGCGTGTTATTTGTGTTGCTCCATGTCCAGCTTGTGCAACCCAGTGTGCAGACGTGTCCCTGTGTGCCCAGGCATGTCAGTCCATGTAACTGTGTACAGGCATGTTTGATGTGTGTTGCTCTGTGCCCACACATATTCCGTGCCCATTGGTCCACCTCCTGGCATAGTCCCTGCCCATCAGCCCATGTTGCTCCATGCCCAGGTGTGTTCAATGTGTGTTTCTCCATGCCCAGGTGTGTCGGCCAATGTTGCTCCATGCCCCAATGCCCCCAGGCCTGCTTCATGCCCACCGGTCCATGTTGCTCAGCATCCAGGCATGTTCCATGCGTGTCAGTACCAATCCCTGTGGGGGGGATCCCCGCAGGCCCCGCCCCTCCCCTGCGTGGGCGGAGCCTGGCAGAGCAGCGCGCAGCGCTATTTTTAGCCTCCCTGTTGCTATCTTTAGCCGATCGACTCAGAGCCCGATTGCGCGGGGGCGGCGGGGGCGGGCCGGACGCCTGGGATCTCTCCTGGCTCTGGGAGCCGTGTGGGGTTATGGGGGGG